GTTGACTAGGCGGAAAACATTGTAATGGTAGTGAATGAGAGAACCTAATCGATCCTTGTATGTACAAAGGGAATCCTAAATATTTGCGCCTATCTCCCAGGGGTGCTGGGAGAAACATACGGTTGTGCAGTGCTTACCACAGGGCCTGGCCTGTGCGAAGGGTGAGCACCGTAGGGTTCCGACCTTGTAGGAATACGATGGAACACAATGCTATCCCATTCACAGGTACTTTTTCTAATGGGCATGGAATGTTAACAACATTGGGAAATGAAAGAGTAAGCGTTTTGAAGTATTTCTAAAAACAGACTTAGGCAACTTTCAAGACGCAGAAAAAGTCTGGCACATTATGGACACTGCACTGCTATGATTAGCATGGAAATGCCTGGGCAAGAAGAGAAAGGCCTTTCTATGAAGTGACAAGTTGGAAAGGTACCAAAATCCTTATCACCTGATGGGTAACGTTGTAAATACAAGAGCTGTTGAAGCAAGTTTATCCCTCTTTTCAATCTGAATATTGTTACATGATAAGGATATCTGGAATATGATTATTAAGAGTATATTTTGTATTAAAAAAAAAAACCCTAGAAAAGAGTAACAGTAAATAACTGTCAGAAGAAAAACCTGGTAAAATGCTCTTAGGAGATCTTTGGGAGGTTCCTTGGGATGAGCCCTGCTGACAGGGTACTGGGAAGCCAGGAACCAGGGCTTCTCCACCCAAAGCAGAGAAATGAAATTTTTGAATAGTAAATGGATCTCATTTAGGATCATCTGGAAACGCATGTAATTGTATGTTGTAATGGTATTATTTTGAAGCAACTATTCATTGTGTTTGAACTTGTAGTGAAGAAGTAGTACCAATAATACCAGGCTAAACAGTCTTTTGAGTCTGGGTGACAGACAGGTAAGCCACTCCTCCCCAGGCACACTGTTTTAGCTCATAAGGGGGTCACCGTGGCCCCCAAGGGATAACAGACTTAATTAAGCAAGAGCGGGCTCCTCCAGACACTACCCCAGCGGCAACGTGCATGACGGCCGCTCGTCCAACCCGTGCAGCTTTTAATCAGCTGGTCTTTCAAGGTTGAACTAATGCCTAGCTCTAAAGCCACAGCTCCCTCTGATTCCATCGTTTTCACCAAGGAAACTGCGCCCAGACATGACCCACTTGTCTACATGGACTTTGATGGGGGTCTCAAATCACTGAATTCTAGAAATGGTCCGATGTTCTCCCTTTGGCTTTATCTGCATGGAAGGGGGGAGGGGCAGCGAGAAGGGAAAACAGCTAAAGTTTGTGAATTGTGAAAAAAGATTCTAGATGAGATTTTGAGGCTAACATATGAGACAAATAACAATGATTTAGGTCTAGGCTGTAACTAGTGAAATTTTGCTGTTTAAGGATGAGTCTCTTGGGACTTCGATATGCTGCTACTCTAAATCTTAAATCCAGGTCTAAGTGTCTGACCCCTCATAAGGCTGCTGGTTCATCATCCAAGGGAAATTCTCTGCACTCCTTCAATCTGAGGGCTGCCACAGGTGGATTGTCTGTCCCTGGGAAGGTCAAGAGAACGACCTTGCAAGGTGAAGGCAGGATTCTTTTGACCAATCCCCACTTGCAAAATAAGACGCTTTCCCACTTGGTTAATTCTGAGCGTGGCTATGACATCCTGCCATACAAGTGGCTGCCTATGACTCACACCTGAAATCAAACAGAACTAACGCTGCTATGTCCCTGCCTTTTCTTCTCACATAGCAAATTCCACTGATAAGGGAAAGTGTCAAAGAAGATGAACCCTATTGGTGAGTTTTGACTAAGTTAACACATGCTAGTGAGGGATCATTTTGAACTAGAGATCACTTTAGAACATTCTTTCATCACGATAATATCACTGGTAGGAGATGTAACACAATTTTCAAAACTGGATTAAGAATTTTACATGTAGGGGCAGCTAGGTGGCGCAGTGGATAGAGCACCCGCCCTGGAATCAGAAGGAACCAAGTTCAAATCCGGCCTCAGACATGTAACACTCATTAGTTGTGTGACTCTGGGCAAGTCACTTACCCTCAACTGCCTCACCAAAAAAAAAATTAAAAAATAAATAAATAAATAAATAAATTTTTACATGTAAAAATTGTTTGAAACATCTAATTTAATAATAGAAGGGGGCAGCTAGGTGGCGCAGTGGATAGAGCACCAGCCCTGGATTCAGGAAGACCTGAGTTCAAATCAGGCCTCAGACACTTAACACTAGCTATATGACCCCGAGCAAGTCACTTAAACCCACTGCCTAGCCAAAAAAAAAAAACCAAAACTAATAATATTAAGAGAGACAAAGACTCACTTTCCAATTCAGGCCTTCATGATGCAATAATTAAAATTCTCTGAAGTTTCATAGATTAATACTGGAGATGAGATTTGAGTTATTTAGCCTAAAATTGTAGTCTTTCCTAAAATTAATGTGAGAATAATCGGGTACTGCTGGAACAGTTTATGGGACCAAATTGCTGTTCTATTAATTATTAAGCCCAATGTAGAAAAAAATTTCGGTTTGAAGAAAAGAATTTCAGACAATCTTATGTCACTAAATGGGAAAAGCCAATTTAATTTGGGTTTATTATTAGCACCTGAATGTTGAGTATGTCTTGAAAGGCAAACATGTTTTATTACAAATAACTTATTCTATCTACACTATCTGACTACTTACTGCATTTATCTATCCCATCCCAGAATTTTTTCTTACAATCAGTTATTTGGCAAATTTTAAATGAATTCAGTGGGGCAGCAAGGGTCATCATCTTTTAAAAAAAAAAACAAAACAAAACCAACTGTTCTTTTAATTCCCCAGCAAAATCTTATCCTCCTAGGGGAGGGATGAACAGCTAAAAGAAAACAGCTTGAAATGAAAATAGCTAGGGTAAAAATTTCCCTTTGGATTTAATAAATAGCTGTAACAAGATCAGGTAATTATATGTTATATATAAAATTTGGGTTCAGAATTTTTAATTTTTCGGTTGAATTTGCCAACCTAAAAATATAAATTCTCTAGTCTGGTAAAGTGCATATTAGTGCTATTGAGGTCTGAGCTGGCTCTCGCTGACCTGGTTATTGTCACAGCAAACTAGAATTGTACTAAGATCTATTGAGTCAGAGATGTTTAACAGAGAAGGAGATCTCTGCAGGTGGTCTGAACTGCAGAAGCAAAGCCACCAGAAGCTGCTCTGAAGCCCCACTCATTCCAGGATTCCCAAGAGGGGAGCTCTCCAGAGGACCACAGGGCTGCATCAGAGGATGCCACAGAGCCTGGACAACTGTACGAGGAGGGAAGTAAGCACAACCCCTTCGTCACCATCAGCCTCTCCACAAATGGTTCCTGAGCCTACAGTGACTGGAACCTCGAATCCTCGTTCCACTCTCCTGCTTCAGCCTTTGCTCCACCACCAACAGCAATGACTGAGAATTGCTTTGTTCATGGAACTCATTCCGCTCCTTAATTTTCTCCACTCCCTATGCTAACTGTTGTCCGCAGGCAAGCCCCCTTTCATCACTATAACGGGGTGGCTGTTTGTCAAAGTGGCTTCAACGGTTTTCATAACCTTCGTTAAAGATTTCCGGAACCTGTGTGCAGGTGGTGGCAGACGACGCCTGCATCGCTACGCTTGAACAAACGCCCTCTGGCCCCCGATTTTCCTCTCTTGTAGGGCAGGTTTTGCTGGGAGGCCCCTGTCCCTCATGGTTCTTGGTTAGCGAGAGAGTCACCTTAGACATTTACTGAGTTATTGTTTAATAAATGGAACATAATCAGTGTGCTGGAAGCTGTGCCACCTTTGTGCCTCAGCGAGGGGACTGCCCCCTTCTGATTCTGCGTTGCCCCTGAAGGACTGCCCTCCACACATTTAGATTACAACGATTCAAGCAAGACTGGGGTCCTTCTGTGGAACAAGGTGGGGAATGAGAAAGGTGATTCCTTGAGGACCCCTACTCTATTCCAATCAGTATCAATCAATTAGCTATGATTCCACAGGACAGTGTTTACAATTATGAGCTGCCAACTGTAAGATCACTCGCTTAACCATAGAAAGTTAACTGGAGGCCCTCTACCGTGGTTTTTCTTGTCGTGGTGACCAAGCCCAGTGGTGACTCAACTACACAGAAAGTGCCCCAACTTATTTCTGTACCTCCGGACCATTCTCTCTTGTCCAACACGAGCAGGTGACCATCTTCTAACCACCTAGTCAGTGGAGATGGTCCTTGCTCCACCCAACTCATGACCCTGCTGACAGATCACGTTTGCTCATCATGTGTCAACCAACGGAATTATTCTGTACATGGTACAGCTGTTCTTGAACGTCGACATATCTAACCCTATAAAAATAGGGCCCTGGAAGGAGGGGGCATTTCAGATCATGAGGAAGACCTGAGGTCTACTTCATTAGAGGGGACCATGGACACTTTCATAAAGGGTCTTTGGGGCTATAAAACTGTGCATACCCTTTGACCCAGCAATAGCACTTCTAGGGCTGTATCCCATAGAGATCATACAAATGGCAAAAGGACCCACATGCACAAAAATATTTAGAGCAGCTTTTTTTTGTGGTGGCAAAGAATTGGAAATTGAGAGGATGCCCATCCATTGGGGAATGGCTGAGCAAGTCGTGGTATATGAATGTAATGGAATACTACTGTGCTATAAGAAATGATGAACAGGCTGACTTCAGAAAAACCTGGAAAGACTTGTATGGACTGATGCTGAGTGAAGTGAGCAGAACCAGGAGAACGTTGTACACAGTAACAGCCACGTTGTACAATGACTAATGTTGATAGACTTAACCCTTCCCAGCAATACAAGGATCTAAGACCTCTCCAAAGGCCTCATAATGGAAAATGCTATCCACATGCAGAGAAAGAACCCTGGAGTTTGAATGCAGATCGAAGCATATCATTTGCTATTTTCTTTCTTCTGCTGTGTTTTGTTTCCTCTTTCTGGTGGTTCCTCCTATTAGTTCTAATTCTTACTTACAACATCACTAATGCGAAAATGTTTAATAGGAATGCATATGTAGAGCCTGTATCAGATTGCTCGCTGTCTTGGGGAGGAAGGGGGAGAAAAATTTAAAACTCAAAAGCTTATGGAAGTGATTGTCAATAATTCAAAATAAATTAATTAGAAAAATAAAATAAAGGGCCTTTGGTTCAGAGCTCGGCCTCAGTCTCTCTTATTGTAGGCTGGACTGTTTTAATCCCCACAGCAACTAGCAGAAGTGTTAGCCAATAAATCGGCCTCTCCTCACCTGCATGCCCTCTCTGGGACCCATCTCAGCTGTGAAGCACTGAACAGCCTGATGACAAAGGTCCCCGTCTCTGACATTCTATTACTTTAAGAGCTGGCATGAAAAGAAACCTTTAAAACGCTAGCGTGCTTCTCTCTAGCGTCGAGGAGAGGACGGGAAGGGCATCTGGGACTTCCCCTCAACCTGTAACACTCACCATGCACTGATATCAGCTCCTCCTGTCGAATCTCCTTCAGCTGCAGGATCTTCTCTAAGGCCTGAGGGATCTTGGGCCCCACGCCGGGGTCGTCCGTCTGCCAAAGACACTTGATGAGAGGGAGTGACCACAGTGACCTTGTGCCTCCCTAGTGTCCCTTTGGTACCATCAGGCTTGGAGAATCATGAGTATTTCAGACCCCCAAACGCTGGGCCGTCACAGGTTGGACTGCCCAGCACCTGAAGGCTCTTCCAAATCTCAGATTGTGCCAAGCCATCTCTCCCTCAGAATGCTGACCTTAAGCCATCACTTTAAGCTTCACGAAGGCCATCCTCCCCTCCCCGCAGGACCCCAACATCACTGACTCACTTTCTTTACAGGTGAAGATGCTCTTGCCCAGGGTCACTCAGCTAGTTATCGGACAGGAAGAGAGAATCTGACACTGGCCTCCTCCAACCCCCATACCCATCTTTTGCATTTATCTGGGCTTATCGGCTATCATCTTAATCGTGTTCTCATTCTTCCTTAACAACAGTGTGCCTAGCACACAGTCTGGCACACAGTAGGTGCTTGCATTGAATGGACTACTCTATTCTATTTGCGAGTCTTGACCTCATTGGGGTTTGTTGTCTCATGCTGGGCCGTTACGTCCCATGACTCACAGACATGGGTTTTAGAAGGACACTCAGAGGAATTCCATTTCGACTTCTGCCTGGAGACCACCAGTGACAGAGGGTTCACTACCTTCCAAGATGGCCTTTGGGACAGCTATAACTGCTGACCAGTATTTCCCTTACCTCAATCCTCAGCCTGCCTCTCCGCAATTTTCACCCACTGCTCCCAGGTTCTCTCTTTGAGGCCAAATAAAAGAAGGCTAAAGCGTCCTCCTCAGGACAGCCTATCCCATTCCTGGAAACAGCCATCACGCCTCCCCTAACCCTCCTGGAAAGCTAAATATACCCAGTTCCTTCAACTCATCCAAGGTTCACAATAAGAAAAGGAGATAAAAAGAGAGAAAGAGAATGCTCTGCCTGAAAAAGGATCTCCAAGCTGAGGCAGTAATCGATTATTAGTTAATAAGCAAGCCCCAGCTTCTCAGACCCCTGAAATCAGCCACCAAAAGTGGCCAGTTCTCTCCCCACACGGCAGATGCTCCCAATCTCACCTCTCTGTTTTCTTCTCCTGGAGGAGGTGGGGGGCCCCGCGGACGGGGGCCTGGAGCCCCAATGGGGACACCAGGGGGTGGGGGACCTACAGGAGCTGCAACTGAGAGAAAGAAATCCAATGTCAGAAGAAAAAAGATTAGCCCAGACCCTTCTAGAGAAATATCTGTCTTTCATCCTCACCTCCCCAAATCCTCCTCTCCAGTCGAAGGTCTTACCTCGAGGAGCCATTGGGGGCCGAGCCCCAATGGGGCCCATGTCTTGAGAGGGCCGAGGGACCGTGGAAGCCAGCTTGGCCATTTCCTGCTGCCGTTCCTGTTCCAGTAACACGGCTGCCTGTATAGGGAAAGTATCATAAAACCTTAAGAAGGCTGACCAGTGCGGCGACCAACCTCGGTCCCAGAGGACCGATGACGGGCTCCTCACTCGCTGACAGAGGGGTGATGGACACAGACAAGGTGCAAATGTGTTTGGCCTCACTATCTCTCTTTGTTACAAGGGCTGTGTTTCCCTTTTATTTTTCAATGGAGGGAATCGAGAGGCAGAAAAACAAATCCTCACTACTCGAAAAAGTAAACTAAAAATTACATTAAAAACACACACATTTGGCAGACAGCCACAAGCAACCTCATTTCTTCATTCAAATCCTTATTGTTAGGGAGCACAAGTCTAGCAAGCTCCCCTGGGCCTCCTGTCGATGCTCCATCCCAGCACCATTCTCCACCTCCCCCGGGGGAGAATAGGAATCAAACTATAATCCCTACAGATCTGCCACCAAAATAAAATAAGGACATAATTTGTTACCACACGACTTAGCGTTTTCTTACATCATTTTGAAATGTTTCACAATCCATTCTCATCTCAATAGAGTAAACTCCCTGAAGGCAAGGAAAGACCTTCTCCTTCTCCTCCACCTCACCCCAACCCCAGGAAACCTGGGCACACAGTCAACGTCTGGTACAGTGGTTCTAAGGCCTCGTTAAACGAGCCTCCAATTGACACCTGAGGCCGGGAACATGTATGAATGAACACAGCTCATAATCAAACAGTGTTTCTAAAGCACTTTACCCACATGGCCTCATCTGATCCTCAAAATACCGGCCCGGTCCAGTCTGGTCCGGTCCGGTCCGGTCCATCCTGGTGTTATCACCGTCTGCATTCTATAGATGGAGCAGCTGAGGCTCTAAAAAGCTATGGAATCTGCCCAGAGCCAGACAGCATCAAAGGCCAGGTCCGCCTACAGCTCAGATCTCGCTCCATGGTTCACTTGCGGTCCATGAGCTTGTTTTTAAAATACTTTGGTCCCCATATTTCAATATAAATCGGTTTCCTTTTTAATCCCATGCCTTTAACTTATGCATTTAAAAACCCCATTCTGAGAAGGATGATCTTACAAGATGAACTGAGTCTATTTTCACCAAACCTGCTGAAATCACATAATGTGTCTAGAACGGGTAAGACCAGGAGAAGACCGTCACGAGCTGAGAAGGGCAAGAACGTGGGACAAGTGTTTCTGGAAAACCAGAAGGATGCCCCTGCCCGGGCTTGCGCACCTGGCAGTGACCATGGAAAGCCCAGCTGACAAGGCTGTGCAGAGCCACGCCACCACCCCGGGAACTGATGCTCCTTCAGGGAGGGGGCGCTCCGCACTCTGCTGCTCCCCAAGGCACCTGCATGCACCCCTACCCCCATGCGGGCCCACCTGCTTGTCCCGCACCATCTTGGCCCGTTCCTCCTGCTGCATCAGCAAGGCGGCCTGCTTCTGGGCCAGCTTCAGTCGCTCCTCCTCCGACAGGGCCACGGGGTCACCTACTCGCATGGGGGGTGGGGGCCCCAAATTTGGGGGGTGTGGTCCTACTCCCATGGGGAAACCAAGTCCTAGACCTGGTGGTGGCGGCGGCGGCGGCGGCGGTGGCTGCAGTGGGGGGAGCCCCATAGGTGGAGGAGGCAGGGGGATTCCAGAGAGCTACAGAAGAAAGAAGACAGCGAGTGAGCAGAAGTGTTGGCTGGGGGCCGCTGGGAGGTTCCGAGACCCTTTAAGGGGGCCTGACAAGTCCAGACTATGTTCGTCATCATTGTGAGACATTTTATTTCTGAATACCGAAACATAAAAGACATAACCTCTACAACCAAAAGCTCCTGGGGGAGGGGAGGTCCTCGATCACGTCTGAGCGCGTTCAGAGCTTCCTGGCACCAGAACGTTTGAACAGCGCTGGCCCTGAGTCCCAGAGTGGCCCATTCCTAAAGCACTTGAAGAGTTGCAACCCTGGGAGGGGGATCACAAACATTCCTAGTCCTACCGTCCAGATGGGGAAACCAAGGCTCAGAGGGAACATGAACGGGATGCCCAGTGCGCCTCACTGCTGTGACCCCCAAGCCGCTCTGTGGTCAAGCCCAGTGGTCCCGGGTCCCACCCTCCAAGACTCTCCAGCTCAGATGGGCCTGCCTTAGAGGAGGAGGAGTCTCGGTCACCACCACTTGAGCAGGAGGCCCAAGCCAAGGTCAGCGTGGCAGAGGAGAATGAAGATCCCAGCCAGGCGGCCGGCATGATGGGGCGGAGGAGAAGCAGGGGGATCAGGCAACTGGAGTCAGGAGAACAGGCTTCTGATTCTGGTTGAGGTCAGGTCACTGACCACCGGACCCCCTGCTCTGTAGGAGACACTTGTACAGTCTCCCCCAAGTGTGGGCCCCCTCCACTGGTGCAGGTGGCAGGGCTTTTGGGGAGGCCGTGGAACAAGCAGACACGCCCCAAAATAGAGATCCCCTGCAAGTACAGTGTCCCCTTCACCCTGCTCTCCCTTGACCCTACCAAGCACCCCTCGCCTCAGGAGTCTCCCTCTTTATCCTCCACCCCAGGGGCAAGGCTGAAAGAATCAATCTGGCCACATCCCACTCCAAGATTCACCCCGGCTCCTGTTGGAAACAGCCTGGCCCCTCCGACCCTTGACCCTGACGAGTCCCCTCAACCTTCCAGCGAGAAAGCCTCCTGGCAGGACCTTCCACAGAACACTCCCTGCCCTGGTCTCCTGAGCTTGGCACAAGCCAGGCACCCCCAAGGATTGGAGCCTTCCCTATGAATGCCGCCTCCCTCACCAGGAGGGAGTCTTGGAGGGTCATTTTTACAATCGTGCCTTTCTTTTCTCCCTAGGGCTGGGCACAGAGTCTGCCGGCGGCTCCTCAGAGCATCTGCTCTAGCCTCTATTACTGCCCATCTGACCTTGAGCAAGTCATGTCCCCCCCCGGTGCCCGGGGCCTACGTTCTCCTCTGTAAGGTCCCTTTCCGGAGCGGCCCATGACACACACGCACACACACACACACACCCCCCCTCTCTCTCTCCCTCCCCCCCCCCCCCCCCCCGGAGGGGCATGGACCCCAGTTTTCAAGGGCTCCATCAGCAGACCCAAGCCCCAGGAAGTGCCCTCAATCTGGAAGGGCCTGGGTCCCGGCAGAGACCCGTGGCTGGCTGCCTGAAGAAGCCCTTAGCTAACTGAGAGACTTAAACCTTTCTCAGGCCCTCCTGAAGGCCACCCAAGTCACAGAGAGGACAAGGCCATCGGCATCAGTGGCGCCAAGAAAACACCAGTCTGTCCTGAGATGCTATCACCACAAGGGACGGCTCACAAGACTCCCCATTCGTTACAGAATAATAACAGCCCTTCGCACGTATTAGGCAGCACTTTGAAGGCTGGTAAAATGAATCATCCACGTCCTTAGTCTGGCATTCAAGGCTCTCCACGATCTGGCTCCACTCCCCCACAATCATTAATTGCCTATTCAGCCAGCACTGGGGTCACAGAACCAAAAAGGAGCCCGTTCAAGAAGCTGGAATTCTTCTGAACATCCCAGTGGAGAAGAATACAAAGATACCAAACAGACGCAGGCCACCGGGGAGAGGTCAGCTGCCTCCGCGCTCTGGGACTGAAGGTCAGGAGAGAGAATGGCCCTGGCCTAGGGGTCCAGGAGTCACCTCCCAGAGAAGGAACCTGAGGGTGTCAGGCACTGAGCCGGCCCCCTGGGCTCCACCGTGCTGCCTGCAGCACACACAGCTCCCAATCCTGCCAACCAGAGCCCTCTGCTGCTACTCTGACCACTTCCACACACAGAAGGACCCCCTCATTTATGCTCCAAGTATCCGTGTATGTTTCACCGCCAGCAGCAGCGCCCCAACCCCGCCAAGAGTCCAAATAAATCTAGTCGAGTTCCCTCGACGACAGACGTGGAAACCACGACTTAGCCAAGACAACAATAAGCAATGGATCCCGGGCTGCTGGACTCCAAAGCCGTAAGACCCAGTGTGGTGTAGGACAAGGACTGGCGATTTTCCCCTTTGAATCCTCTCACCTCTGGGGTCCTCAAGCAGGGTGTTTTTAACTGAACTGAATACCTGGGCAACTTTAGAGAAGTCAGCTCCACTGTCTGGGCCTCAGTTTTCAACCACAAAATCAGGGGGATGGATTTGCTGATCCTTTCCTTCCCATCCTGATATCCCAGGGCTGCGGACTCACCTGTGCTGCCATCGGAGGAGGGGGGGCAGTCTTGTCTCCATCCTCGCCTCTCAAAACTGGCCGATTCAGCACGATGCCCGTCTTGGGAAGGGGGAGGGAGAGGACGAAAAAAGACAGATCAGGCCACAGCAGCTCCAAGCAGACTTCCTCACCTGCCCTCCCTGGGCCCAAACACCCATCCCACTGCCCCCCGTGCGCCACTCACCTGCCGGGTATAAGTTTGCAGTCTCTCCACCAGCTCCTCTCGGCTTCCTGAAGGGTCATAGGTATGGGGGCGGGGGGGACAGAGAGAGGAAGAAGTTAATTCAAATTGAAAAAAATGAACAATTAAACAATCTCTTGTGTAAGGCAACATGCCAGACCCCAAAAATACCGAGATTTTAGAATGATAGCTGCTACCCTCCACCACAGTAAAGAAGGGAGGGGAGGCCAAGTGTCCTCAGATGACAGCACATGATAAGTACAAAGAAGAGGTCCAGGCAAAGTGTTCTAGGACACTGGAGGAAGGCCAGCTCAGTGAGGAAACCAAACTGATGACCAGTTACTTCTTCAACTTGACCAATGAGTCGTCTCCAGCCTCCATGCATTTGCATCCGGACCTTGCAGGGTCCTCATCTTCCCTCAGGCCTCAGTTAAACTTCTACTTTCCCCACAGAGCCCTGCTGAGGTCAATGGCTCAAAGGGTCCTTCCTCTCCCTGAGTTTTTCCTTTGCTCTATTGCTCCCCACCTTGGGCGTTCTCCTCCGTAAGCTGCATTCCTGTACCTGCAGAAAGGATGCCACGTCGCTGGTCACCCTCTCCAAGCCCACTCAGAACCACGGAACTGGAAGGGACCTCAGTAGCATGCACCAAGTACAAAGAGAAGGACAGGCAGCCACACTCATGGCTACTAGTCTACTCCAGACTCAGGAGGAACTGCCACTAGAACAAATGTGTTCTGTGAAGTTTGGGTTCACTCAAAGGAGGCCAGAAGGTTCCCCACCCCTCCACTAGAACCTCCCCAACAAGTATGCTCCACTCATTCCAGCCTCTCACAATTAATCTGATCATCAGCTCCCACATCAAATCTAAACTTGCTTCTTGGACCTTCCAAGTTGGTGCCTGAGGTCAAAGCAAAGTCTAATAATCCTTCCTCCCAATGACCCCCTTCAAATACCTGGGGACAGCCCCCCTTTCCCCCAGTTTCTCTTCACACACACTTTACGTGCACACACGTGAAGGCCTTCCCCTTCCTGGCCACAGCAGGGCCCCTCCCCAGCACACCCCTCCAAGCAGTGCCCCTGTCACTGAGGCCCCGTCACTCCAGCTCTGAGCTGCTACATCACCCAGCTGATTCATAGGAGCCCAAGGGCCTTTCTCACGCCTCCCCACCCAATCTTGGCGCAGCTGATTTTTTTAACCAAGGGCTACGATTTTACATTTATCTGCACTGAATTTCATCCCATTGGATTCACTGCAATGCCCTGGCCTGCCACGACCTAGATCTGTTCTAGGTCTGTCACTCCACAGTTCGGCTCTCCTTGCAGCAATGTCACCTGTGAATTGGCACCACCTGCCATCTCTGCCTTGATCCTCATCAGCGATGAGAAGCTCTCAGAATCACCGTGCTGGAGCTCCAGCACCTTCACGACGCTTCTGATTGGCCAACCAGCTCCAGAGCCGTCCAATTGTATCACGGCTTAGTAGAGTGGTCTCCACTTTGCCTTCAACAACTGGCCATATTTTGTCAAATGGTTTGCTAAAACCAATGTCAACCATTACTGTGGACACTCCTCTCATCCACCAGTCTAAGAACCGTGTCCAAATAAGGTTAGTCTGGCTTCCTTTTCCAGGATCTCTGGACTGCAGCTCATTCATGCAGCAATCCAAGCTCAGCCCAGAGGCCTCCAGTGTGCAGCCCCTATTCTCTTCCCTATTTGGGAACACCCTCTCCTTCTCCAAGATCCAAGATCCCTGACAGTAGTTCAGGAATCACATCCACCTGTACTTTCGGCCACCCTGGCATAGGGCAGCTGGACACTCTCTTACAGCATCCTCAGCCCTCAGGAGCGGCAGCTGTCTCTAAGGCACTGTGGCAAAGATCCTTCTCCTTAGCAGAGAAAACAGCAGCAAAATCAGACTAAGTTCTGCCCTGTCTCCCTTCCTCCGGCCGTCCGGCCGTCCGTCTGTCCCCAACATCACTTTTACTTAAAGCTTGTGGTCATCCTGAGCGTTCCTCACCGCCTCACAGCTATGAGCTCAGGCGCCTGCTCTGCTGTAGCTCTCCTCAGCCCCTGAGCTCTTCCACACTCTCCAAAGGTAGGTGGTGGGCGTCCCTCTCTTAGCGGTCTGGGCAGCTTCCCTTTCAGCTCCTCACTGAAAGGACTTCTCTGGGGGCCCAGAGGTCCACTTGTCAGACCTGACATCTCCTGCCAAACGCCAGAAGCAGCCCTCCTCAGCCCCAGAGTGCCCAGCAGGCCAACCCCAGCTGTCCCTACGGCCTTCAGTTTCTTGCCTGAGGGCTCTGTTAACGTCCAAGGGGGCTCTCTAGGCTCCTTGTAACGGGATCATTTGCTCAAATGAATCAAGAGAGAATCAAGAGAAGTGGGTGGCAGACCCGCAGCCCAGCGAAAGGGCCCCGTTCTCCGGGAGGCCTTTTCCTGCCGCTCCCCTGGCAGTGCCCCCTTCCCCCAAAGCCTCTGTGTACGTTCTTAACTTGCTCCCGCACGTACTTCTCAGCAGCCCGGCAGGCAGCTGGGACGTTCTGGGGGGGAAATCAGCTCCGACTCCGGACACAAGCAATGGAGAAGCAGCCCAAGGAAGGCCCGATCTTGTCTGAACCCGGCCTGCCGCCTGAGCCGGTCACTGCCGGGGCTACCCCCCGAACACCACCCACTTCCAACCCCCTGTTTCTTCGGGGGCGGCGTCATGCTCGCGCGTCACCCGGCCTCACAGCTTCGGGGTCCCCCCCCCCTCGCCATCCCGACCCGACCCGACCCTCCTGCCTCCCGGTCAGTGCCCATCTAGGCACCCCTGAGCGCCAGTCCGCCCCCACCACCACCCTGGGGCCTCCCGGGGGGCCTGGCCGCACACCCTCACTCCTCTCGGTCCCCCGAAGCCCTCGGCCGCCTCCTCCGGGCCCCACCAGCCTCCAAGCGCCCCAAACGGCCCATCCCCCCGCCGCCTCGGAACCGGGCCACTTCGGGGGGTCCCCTTCTCATCTGGGGCTTGGGCGCAGCCCCCAAGAAGCGCTTAACTGAATTCTCACTGAAGGTCTCACCCAGCCCTCCCGGGGCCCCCCCCCGGGAGCCGCAGGCCAGTCACACACGGCCTCAGTTTCCCCACCATCCGAACGACGGGCCCCCCGGGCCTTCCTCGCTTCCTCCCCTTCGGGTCCCGGGCCTCCTCGCGAGTCTCGCGGGCCTCAGCGCCGGCGGGAGCGGCGCGGAAAACTCACCTTGGATCGGGGCTCCAATTTCCGCCAGCTTGGCCTGCAGCTCGGGCGCGGCCCAGGCGCCGTAAGGGGCCGGCGGCGGGGGAGGCGGAGGCGGCGGCGGCGGAGGCGGCGGCAGCTGAAGCTCACCTTTAGGAGGCTCGGGATGCTCCGCCGCCATCTTAGCGGCGAGAAGGCGCGCGGCCCAGGAGCCTGAAGAGACACGGCCTCCCGGAACTTCCGGCGGCGACCAATAGGAGCCGGGCCTGCGGAACGCAGGCCGCCAATAGAAATGGGGAGGGGGAGGGCGGCTTCATGGAGCACGCCGGGAAGCGTAGTCTGGCGTCACCAGGAACTCCGCGAGGCGCATGCGGAAAGGCGTCTGGTTGGTGGCTGAGCCTCCTGGGAGTTGTGGATCGGAAACCGGAGGAGGAGAGGACGGGCATCACTGACCCGCCCCTACGTCAAGCCGCGGCCCAGAAACGGCCCCGCTGCCCCATGGGAAATGTAGTTCCCCCGTTCCCAAGAGCGATTGTAGCCCTGCTGGCCTCAGAGGCAGGAGGGAGCCAGAGATTGCTGCTCCCCCATGCCGGGCATCCAGGTCTGGCCAAGCCCCGAAGGGCCTAAGAGCCAATCGACCTATGCCCTGTAAATAGCGTGGCAAGATAGGGAGCGCGATGGAACGACCAGCTGTTGCCCTGGACAAGAATTGAGCTGTTGCATCTCCTTTCTTTGGAGAAGTGGGGGACTAGGGGTGTGAATATCCCATAAGCCCAAGACAGAATAATGAGGTCCTAGACCCGGAGCTGGACAGATGAGGCCACTGGGGCCCACGGTCGGTGGTGTCCTGGAGTCAGGTTCAGATCAGCCTCAGACATTCACTGGCTGTGTGACCCTGGGCAAGTCACTTCACCTCAGTCTGCCGCAGTGCCTTCCCCCTAAAGTGTGAATAATAACACGGCCCCTCCCTGGTGGGATGGATGTGCAGACCAGATGAGATCCTAATGGAAAAAAAGTGCTAAGCACCCTGCCCACACAAGGCACTCTGAGAATGCCTGCTCTTACTAGTGTGGTCTAGGCTGCAAAGCCAGGGATTAGATCAGGCACATGGAGCTTCCTTCACAGCTCTCTGCATCTTCTCAATAATCAATCCATCCAGCGCTTCGCACTGGGCCCAGCTCAAAGGAGGTGCTTAATGAGCTGACTGATTAATTGTAGGGGGTCCCCTGCACCCCTCTTCCATGAGCCTCGAACACATAAGGTTTTACACAGAAATACTTACTTCAAAAGGTATAATATTCATATATAAACTTATGGCCCCACCAGAAAGTAGGCACAATACTCTTGGGGATCATGCAGGGCCACCAGCCCGGGGTTCAAGGCCAAGCACCCCTCTCACTTGGGTCCCCTACACCCAGGCTTCTCGGGCCTTCAATGCCTTGGCCCCCACCTGCAATCCCGGCTCCAGTCACCACGGCTTGAACTCCCCTAGGGACTACCTTTGGTCACCTGAAACTGAGGAGGACAAATATACAGAACAGAAAGATATATCCCGCGCCCATTGCTCCAAGCCAGAGTTTGGGGGGGAGGGGTGGCTAATGGATGCAAGAGAAGGAACAGGGGGAAGGAGAGACCTTCCTCTCTCACTGGGCGCTATTTTAGGCAAACGAACATGTTCCGAAGTCCCCTCAGAGCTATCTCCATTAATTGAACTGGGCTTGCAGAGACTAGCCCAGGTTATGGAAAGAAGGGAGGGAGGGAGGAAGGGAGGAAGGAAGGAAGGAAGGAAGGAAGGAAGGAAGGGAGAGAAGGAAGGGAGAGAAGGAAGGGAGGAGGAAGAAGGAAGGGAAGAAGGGAAAAGGAAGAAAGGAGGGAGAGAGGGAAGGAAAGAGCGAGGAAGGAAGAAAAGAGGGAAGGAAGGAGGGAGGGAGGGAGGAAGGAGGGAGAAGGGAGGGAGCTGACTACCAACACTAGCTGTGGGACCTTGGGGCACGTCACTTGTGCTCCAGCATTCTCATGCCATCTGCACAGACTGCTGGAACAAATGAGCTCACAGAGATGACTCGCTTTTCAAACCTTAAGACACTGCAGAAATGGCTGTTCTACCAAACAGATAAGGAAACTGAGGCCAGAGAGGAGCAGCGACTTCCTCCAGTCCCATGGGTAGCACAGTGTCTCTGGCTGTGAACCCAGAAGTGCAGCCTCCATACACCAGGCTGCCAGACCCTTCGTGGTGGGAGGGCAGGACTCCTGGGTCCCTGGACACAGGGAAGTGGAGAAATTCCCAAGGCAGACACCAGAGAAGAGGGCAGGAAGAGTCGATTCGGGATAACATCGCTCTTGATTGTCTGTGGGGAGCTGGCCGAGCCCACCCCACTCTTCCTGAGCCAGGCACATTCAAGAGCTGAAAGCAGATAGGACCGAAGCCAGACCCTCCAGGGAGAGAAGTAAGGCACAGACTCTGAGACCGGCTCTATTCTGGCCCGGCCTGCCCTGGCCTGGCCTGCGCTGTCCTGTCCCCCCTCAGAACCCTGCTCCGGTGCCCACCCCTCCTAGCCCCACCCAGGCCTTGCCTGAGATGGCCTTCTGAACAATGCCCCCTCTCTTCTCCTCCCCAGGCCCAGACTCACCATTCCTGCTCTGCTCCTCCACACACCAGCCGCCTTATCTAGGTAATAGCAGAGAGAGCTAATAGAGACTTCAGGCATAGTCTATGCCAAGCCCCTCACTTTTACAGATGGGGAAACTGAGCTTAGAGAGGTGAGGTTGCCAGGCAAGGTTCTACCAGTGGTAAGTCCAGACATGGCAGGGGCAACATCAGAACCCAGACCCAAGGCTGTGCCAGACTCCACTGGGAGCAATCTGGGACTGAGACAGTCCCACGAGGCATTTCCCATAATGACCCAGCTTGTGCCTACTTCTGGCCCCCTCCACAAATGGCTCATGAGAAGCAGCTGCCTCTAGCTTCTTCCCTCCTGGCTCTGAAGCTAGATCTTGAATGCCAGCACAACGGGAAGAGTGCTGTACTTGTAGTCCCAGGACTGGGCTTGGAATATGTGCTCTGCCCCTCGTGTTGTCTGTCACCTTGTCCTCAGTTTCCTCATCTGTAAAATGAGACGTCTTTCATCTCTGAATCCCATGCTCTGATCTCCTAGGCAGTGCCTTCGTCTGGGGGGTGGGGGGGCATTTCTCGGGACAGAGATTTCAAAAGCTTGGTGTGGGGCAGGAAGGGGAGAAGCCTGACCTAAGGGAGACAGGCAGGGTGTGGATGCTTGGGCCCCTCCCTCGTTATCAAGTTGGGCTCAGGCATGACCGGTTCCTTTCTTGAAGATTTGTCCCAGCTCCGGGTAACCTGAGCCTCCCTGGGAGTCCAGATAGTAGAAGCAAAATATACAGCCTAGGGCTGGATAAACTGAGGCCTGGAAATAGAATGGGGATGGGGGTGGGGAGAGGGAGACAGCTGCCAGAGCCTGAGAGGAAAAGGAAACTAAAGAACTCCCCATCATTTTCTCTTCCCTGGTAATTCCTCTGTGGTCCTAACAAGAGCCCTTGTGAAATCACACTATTGATTGGGCACCTCTGTGGGCAGAGCCTGGGTGCCCCCACCTCCGAGCCCTCAGTAGGCTCAGCTCTGTGCCTAGCCTCTGGTTCCAGGCTCTCTGCCTGTACCAGGCAGGGCAGAAGGGAAATACTGATAAAGACAGGGACTGTGCCAGCCACTGATGGGCAATGCAGGGCAGCTGTCCCCAACTTTGGGCCAACAGACTCTCTGGGAGGGCCGGGCTGCTCTCAAAGACCACAGAATCTTTCTGCCAAGGGGGAAAAGCTGAGGTCTGGGAAGCGGCCCCTAAGACCAGCACTAGAGTATCTTAGCTCTAGAGATGGAAGGCAGGAAGCAGGGCCAGGATCAAGGATCCAGGCCACGCACCTCTGCCAGGCCCGAAATCATGCTCAAGCTCGAGTGGACACAGAGCAAGAGGAGAAGCTGTGGGTTTGGAGACAAGGCCGTTTGGGAAGAGAATGACAGAGTCTGAGTTTTCCTGTGATGTCTAGAAGGGGAGCAGAGCACTGGACAGACCTCTGGAGGAGAATGAAGAGAGGTGAGGATGCCTGCATTGCCCAGAGGTGTTGCCTAGCTGTGTGACCATGAGCCTCTGGTAGCCTCAGCCACCTCCTCTATAAAACGGACATAATCTGGACTAGAAGTAACAACATTAAGGAGTGTGAGGGGGGCAGCGGGTGGTGCAGTGGCTAGAGCACCGGCCCTGGATTCAGGAGGACCTGAGTTCAAATCCGGCCTCAGACACATACCACTTACTAGCTGTGTGACCCTGGGCAAGTCACTTAACCCCATTGCCCAACGACAACAAAAAAAAAAAAAGAAAGAAAGAAAAAAGAAAAAAAAGAAAGGAGTGTGAGGAAAGTGCTCTGTCCAAAACACGAGGATCCTGATGGAGAAGACATCAATGATGGGCTGCCCCACTCCATACTCTTCTCAGCAGCCACCTCCAAGCCCCTCCCCCCAAACCACACCCTGGAGGAACTTCAGCCAGGACCCACTTTCCTGCTTGTAACTGCCTTTCCCAGAACAGTGTTTCAGGAAAGCCTGCTCAATGCTTCACCCCATTCCCACCAAATACATCCCCTTTCCTTCTTCCCATTCCCCTGATCTCCATTTCAAGAATCTTGAATCATGCTCAAATCAGCCAGCGATCCTAACTGGGTTACCAATTAATCCACAAGTACTTATTTTTAAATTATATTTTTATTTATTTCATTAAGTATTTCCCAATTGCATTAAATTTTTTTAACATTCATTTTTTAAAATTTGAAGTTCCAAATTCTCTCCCTCCTTCCTGTTCCTCCCCCACCCCTTGAGAAGGTAAGCAATGTGAAATCAATTATACAAAACAGATATCCATATTAGCCATGCTGCAAAAGAAAACACACACACACACACACACAACCAAACAAACCAGAAAAATAAAGGGAGAAAACTGTGCTTCAATCTGCACTCAGAGTTCATCCGTTCTCTCTCTGGAGATAGATGGCATTTTCATCATGGGCCTTTGGAATTGTCTTAGATCGCTGTACTGATCAGAGCAGCTAAATCTCTCACAGCTGCTCATGATACAATGTTGCTGTTTCTGTGTGCAACGATCTCCGGTTCTGCTCACTGCACTTCCCATTAGT